ATTTCAGGGCTTGGCGTTGGCATCGAGGTGAAGGAACGAGTTTTCGGGTCGAAAGGAGCACGTTTGGGTTGAAGTGTGCTGGAGGAGCAAAATACCCGGCCCTTAGCAGAAATACCCGGCCGGGTATTAATTGGAGCAGACCGGGGAAAATCACTTTTGGACGTTTGAGAAGCAGAAGGGGGCCCGGTCGTGACGCTTAAATCCCCGATCGGGTATTCTTGGCCTTGACCAGGGATTAACCTGTGTTCCTCGACGGTGCGTTTCAACAATCCTCGGTCGCCACCCAAAATACCCGACCGGGGATCGCGAAAAGCCTGTTTTGTGCGTTTTAGCAAGGGGAGAGCTGGGTCTTGGATCCCAAACACCCAAGGGACGAACCAAAGAGAGAGAGGGCGATTTGAGGGCATTCTTGGAGTGGAATTGGAGGATTTCTTCGCCTTGGAAGTTCGAGGAACAAGCCCGGACTTGAAGACTGATCATCTTAAGATTCTTACTGCAGTCGCTCTCTTCTCTATGGAGTAACTTCCCTTCACTTAGGTTTTGAGGTACCCTAGCTATGTTTGTTTGATTGGATGATTGTATGAGTACTCTTACTTGATAATCTTGAGTTCATATTCAATCTATACATGTTTTCATGATTCAATTCTGCTTTAGTCGAGATTATTGATTCTGCTTTGATCCTATGAGAGCGAATTCCTGATTTGGTCAATAGAGCACCATAGATTGATAGTATTGGATAGGTTGCTTTAGTCGAGGGTCGATTCACTGCTCTGTATCGATTGAGAACCTCATTCGATAGATGGAGTCTAGTTTAGAACGCCTTGATCGGTTGTTCTAGAGAAGGATACGTCCCTCTAGGCAATCGACTCAAGAGGGCCTTGATCCTTTAGTCGAGATTCAAGGTCTAGTCAAGGATTCTCCGCATTGTGAATGAAAGTGAAACAGGTTAGAGATCATCAATCATTAATCTGGTTAATGGCTAGGGGGAATCATACCTAAGTGAGTTCCCAACCTGTAATTAGATTAACTTTAACTGTAGTTTGGTAAGTAGTTTTAGTTCTTCCATCTTAATCTGGTTTGCTAGATAACGAACCGAAGCTCAGTAATAGTAACTCTAGAGACCCGTGGATTCGATATTTATTACTTGAGCCATTATATTGCAGTCACTTTCATTGGTTACACTTGGCCATTGTTAGGAGTTGTGTCATAGCGAGTCAATATACGCAACTCTGCTTTCTCTGTTGGACGAGCTAGGGAGGGTTAGTGGTCAAAAAGTTAACCTAACTAAATCTTCTATGTGTGTGAGTTCTAATGTCTCTGATCAGGAGCGAGCGGCTTTGGGAGCTTTTCTTGGGGTGGCTGATTCTAATATTCTTGACAAATACTTAGGGATTCCGGTTCATATGTGACGGTCTAAGACGAAGACCTTCAGGTTAGTGGAAGAGGGGCTAGCTAGTCGGATCCGGTCGTGGAAAACTAAAGCAATGTCCTTGGCTGCAAAGGAAACGGTGATAAAATCTATTGGTTCAGCTTCCTCTATATATGCAATGTCTGCTTTTTGACTTCCATCTTTCACCTGTCGCAGGTTAAATGGCCAACTCTCTCGGTTTTGGTGGGCTGATCAAGATAAAGGAGACGACATGCACTGGATTTCATGGCAAGAGGTGTGTCATAGCAAGTTTGCTGGGGCTAGGTTTTCGCGGTTTCGAGCGATTCAACATCGCCCTCTTAGCTAAACAAGCTTGGTGGGTACTCATGAATTCAGACTCATTGGCAGAACTATACCGAGCTCGATATCACCCACACACCACATTCTTGGAGGCAAGCTCGGGTCCAAGACCGTCATGGACTTGGCAGGGCATCTTAGCTGGGAGGGATCTTCTTATGCGTGGCCTCCGATGGCGGATCGAGGATGGGGCGTCGGTTTAAGTACTTGCAGATAAGTGGCTTCCATCAAACCCTCCCTCATCTCCCTTGTTGAACCAACATATTACCTACTGCCCAGTCTTTGTCTCTAAACTTATTTGCCCCTTCTCTCACTCTTGGAACGTGCAACTTCTTAACAACCTATTCATTTCATCCTTGGTGTCCTTAATACTCTCCATTCCTCTACCCTTACATTCCTCTCCAAATAAGCTCATTTGGCATCATTCCCCAACTGGAGAATACACTGTTAAAATTGGTTATCATGTTCTTTCTAATGAATTGCTGGCTTTGCATCCTCCCCCTCCGTTGCCTTATGAATGCAGGTTCTAGAAGGTATTGTGGAGCTTACCACTTCCGCCTAAACTTAAGTTCTTTTGGTGGCGAGTGGTTCAGGGCTTCCTTCCTGTTCGTGCGGTGCTACAAATCAAGTGGACCGTGACGAACAATATATGTCCGGTCTATTCTGAAGGAGCTAAAAATCTTTCTCATTCTTTCCTACATTGTTGGGTGGCAACAGAGCTTTGGGATCTTGCCGATTTGGGTGCTCTAAGAAGGAGACTGGTGGGTTTGTCATTTTCGGATTGTTGGATTGCTTTGTTCTTTTTTTTTTTTTTGTCATTTGTCCAAAAGTGAGATTGCTGATGCTGTTTTCCTTTGCGGGCGAGTGTGGAAATCTCGCTGTTGGGCAATTCACAAGCATATTCAATATCTAGGGCCCCATTATTACGGGAATTTAGAGCTCAGGTTGAGTAGTGACACCTTGCATCATCTCCGTTGACGCTTCATAGGGATGGTGGCGGGGCATCTCGTTCTGGGACAGGTTCTGGACAAGGGGCTCAGATTAATCAAACAGACGGCCGCTGCCCAACCGGTGGTGTCTTTGTACGCTTCGATGGAGCTTGGAAGAAGGATGTGGGATGCGGGTCCGGATTTGTTGGCTTCTCCCCTAATGGTCAACTCCTTTACGCATTCGGGCAGTATTACCCAGGCGTTTCTGAACCTTTTATTTCTGAATTATTAGCTCTCTGAGATGCGATCAATTGGTGTGTTTGGCGCATCGATTTTTGTCTGTCAATTTCTGTGGCGATTGGCAACCTTTGATTCACAGGGTTCATGCGAGAGATGTGGCCCATGCAGCAGGCGGTGCGATGTTGGAGGAGATTTGAGCGACAGCTGCGTCGTTTATTTTCTTTGATTGTAATTTTACTCCGAGGTTGTACAACATGGCTATCCATTTAGTGGCTACTAATGCCCTTTCATCGATAGTTTGACTAGTTGTCGACTGTTGTGTGTGGTTATCAAGTGTCTTATAATATCTATAACTTCCCCTATCTATGACAAAAAAAAAAGGAAATGTCTATTTTTTATCCAAACCTTTTTTGAATTCTTTTATAATATCCAAACATATCGAAATACTAAGAATTATCCAAATGTTAACTTCTAATTAGCAATTTTATTAGTAATATCGACTTGACAACATGATACTAACTTGGAAGAACTACATGAATGTCAGCATTCCAAAATTTTAGTATTTCAACTAAGAAAAGAATTACAAAATTATTAACGATGACGTAAAAATGGCTAATATTTTGATGCATTACGAAAGATTTGGCTATAATAGCATTTTAATAGATTTGGATAATATAAAAGAATTAAAAAATTTTGAATAAAAAACCCTTATAGAGGATAGGAGAATTTATAGATCATCGGAGCTCTGCTTTTTGAAGTGCTTGGGCTGGATTGGGTTGGGTTGGGCCTGGCCGAATGTGCTTAATAGAGTTTTAGGGCTTCTTTTACGGGTACCCTGCCCGAATTTTTTACTCTGAATTTTCACCAATGGGTCGAAAATGTCGCCCCATCGACTAGGGCTGGGAAAACGGTTGCGGTTTCGCGGTTAAACCGATAACCACACCGAAACCGCGCGGTTATTGGTTAACCGCAAACCGCATATTTTGCCTATTTTGCGGTCGCGGTTGGAGATATGGGTTGTTTTGCGGTTTAACCGCAACCGAAACCGCAAATACATATAACCGCAAGGCTAACCGCGACCCCAGACCCAGCCTATAGTTGACCCCAGCCCAGCCCAAAGTTGACCCCAGCCCAGCCCATAGTTGGCAAATCCAACCCGACCCGGCCCGGCCCCTCCCCCACTTCTCCCTGCCGTCGTTTGGAGAAACAAAAATCGAAAGACGAAAACCCTAATCCCCTTGACCCCTTCGACCTAGGGATGAACATGGGTCGGGTGGGTGGGATTTAACTCAAATTTATCACCCAACCCTTATACTTCGGGTTGGACAAAATCACACCCCAACCCACCCACAAAATATACAACCCTATTGGTTTGATTAACATTGGGTCGGGTCGGGTGCACCTTCGGTTTGGGTGACACCTAATTACCAAATCAATAATTCATTCAATAAGTTCCAAACTTACATTACCATCATATTACCACCCAATTCAACAGCAGCGAAACCTGTGATAGTACATATAAGCAACCACTACAAAACAATACTTATATCAAAAGGAAATACGATTATACACCTGTTCATAAACAATCATATAGATAATATATGGCAGATTAGTTCTAGTAAACATCATATATATATATTGGGGAAATCATACTACTAAGAGTGCCTTCTTTACATCATTCACAAATAATACATCAAGGTAACTAATTATATTGTCTTTGTTACATAATTCATACTTATGTGCTGTTTGCATCTCAAAAAGCTGGAAATCAGCACCCAAAGCCAAGAGTTTAAACACTCTACCAGCTAAGTTAACAAAGCTAATACCCAAAAATCTATCATCTCCAATCCAGCAACAGTTAGCTAATACATATAGCAGCAACAGCAACCATGTACAAAAAGAATCACCTGCAAAATAACATATAACACATATATTAGTATTACCAGAAGTATCCAAGCACTAAGCAATATTTTACTAACACTAAGCGACCAGATTTACCATTTACACTTTAAGCATCAATAACAAGCCCATCATCTTCAGTTAATATGAATGGACTTGAATCCAAGAAATCTAAGAACAAAACAGCAAATAGTTAATTAAAAAGTTTAAACATCAAGAATATAATCAAGTAATAAACATAACATATTACCGTTAGCCTGCTCCTCAACGGGATTCAGATGAGCTTCAAGTGAATCCACTTCCAAGTCAGCCGTAAATGATTTGGAACGTAGCCAATTCTGAGTATACACAAGTGCTTCCACCATTCTTGGAGCAAGTTTTGTTCTAGAAGGGTCTACAATACGACCGCTAGTGCTGAAAGTCGACTCACTTGCGACAGTTGAAACAGGAATAGCTAGTACATCTCGTGCTACGTGAGCAAGAACTGGATAGATAGATGAATTGAGCTTCCACCACAACAATATATCAAAATCATCACTTGATTTCTCACACGGTGATGCCAAGTACTTAACACACTCTGATTTTCCTCCTGAGCTATCCCTTTCTTCCATCGCTCTAACAAATCTTAATTGTCGTAACTTTGTTGGATCTTTTTCAGTCAAATGCATAGAACCAGCAAAACCTGTCCCTTCTTGACAAGTACTAGACCCTTTCCCCAAACCACTAATTTCTGAATCGACCAAATATTGATCATATAAACGATTCATCACTTTTTCCACATTATCTGTAAGCTGTCCAGCATGATTTTCGTCATATAAATCTTCAAAACTGAACTTGACATACTTGAGCTTATATCTGGGGTCTAAAACCACAGCCACATACAGCAAAGGATTCAGATTCTGAACATTCACCCAATATTTGATAAACTTTGACTTCATACGAAGAGACATGTCTCTAAACATAACATCCTCACTTGACGACAACTCAGTCAATTTATCTTGCAAGGCTATCAACTCATGGAAGAATAAGTTAGAGGTAACACTTAAAGTGCTGGAAAATTTCAATGTCACTAAATAAAATAATTCCAGAAACTTTAATAAGCACCTAGCTTTGTCAAAGTCTTCATCCATTGGTGGCCCTAACAATTTCTTCTTTTTCTTTCCCTTCCCCCTTGTATTTCCTACTTCATTTCCACCACTGACCCCATCATCAATCTCCTCGTCACCATCTTCAAAGTAAGTTAAGTACTTATAATCTTCACCAATCATCTTTGCAAATGCTCTTTCAAATTTTTCTGCCGCTGCCAGCATCACATACGTTGAATTCCACCTAGTCTCAACATCAAGACCAACCAGTCCTTTGTATTGTATCTCCTCCATCTCAATACATTTCTTGAAATTCAGTAACCTTGTAGGAGAAGACCTAACATACCTCACAGCATTTCTGATTTTAATGATCGACTCATCCAACTCTTTCATTCCATCTTGTAAAATCAAATTCAAGATGTGAGCAGAACACCTAAGGTGCAAAAAATCATGTTTTAGTATTGTTCCACTAGAATTCTTGGTTTTCCTCACAATGTACTTGATGGCACTATCATTAGTGCTTGCATTGTCTACCGTTATTGTGAATATCTTGTGCAGCCCCCACTCTTTCAAACAACCCTCAATTGCCTGCCCAATAGTTTCACCCTTGTGATTAGCAATTGTGCAGAGATTCAAAATCCTTTTATGGAGTACCCAAGCTTCGTCTATCCAATGTGCAGTAAGGCACATATAATTAATATTCTGATTTGAAGACCAAGTATCAGTTGTTAGACACACTCGCTGTCCCTTTAGCACTCTTTTTAGCTTCTGTTTTTCCTGTTCAAACAATGCTAAACAGTCTCTTCTAATTGTAACTCTAGAAGGTATAGTAAATTCAGGCCGCAATGCCTTACAATACCTTCTAAAGCCTTCTTTTTCCACATCTCTGAATGCTTTCTCATCTGTAATTATCATCCTAGCCAATTCCTTCCTACAAAGCTCAACACTATATGCTAAAGCCTTAAGCCCACTACTCGGCTCAAAACACAAAGTTTTCTGTTTACTATCATTCTTATAGAAATGGCATTTTAAGTATTGTGTTTCCAAATGAGTCCACATATTACTAGTTCCATGTGTTCTACTTTCAGCTGCATAAGACTTCCCACAATAGTTACAAGCACCTCTATCACTTTCTCCACTTTTTTTAACCAAAGTAAAGTGATCCCAAATTTCAGATTTGGTAGAGGTCTTACCACTTAATTTAACTTTAGTTCTTTTCATCTTTCGAGGCTTAGGAGGAAGGGAAGTACCAGGTTTTGTAGTGGCAACAACAGCATTTTCATTTTGTTGATTTTGAGGTGAAACAGACCCAACAACTGTAGAATTCTGTTCAGCTCCACTGATAGTCCGGGGGGCAGCAATATTATCCTTATTACTTGCAGTCGGAACCCCTTTATCCATCTACAAAATTACAGGCAGAAATGCATATTAGACAAATCTTGCTCTGTTTGTAACAACTGAAAGTAGTTAAGATATTTCTCATAGGCAAGAATCCAGAGTTAGTTGAGAAAGAAGATCCAACAGTAAGACTCACTATTATCATTTATCCAAATACAAAAGTAATAAAAAACCAGAACATGGGCACTTTAAGGCTAAAGAAGGAACTAGCACTTTAAGACTAAAGAAGAAAACTAGTTCACTAATACATCCATATTATTATAATACTAATTTGCAATCTACAATAAAGAACTCGTGGGGCATGAGCCTTGATACAGTTAGGGCCTGTTTACTTTCATTTCTGTTTCCTGTTTTTGAGAAAACAGATGTTGAAAACAAGTGAAAACAACATTTTGTCGTTTCCGAAAACAGCAGGAAGTTGCCACTTTCTGTTTTCATAGTTGGAAACGAATAGAAAACGGAATGAAAAGTAAACAAATTTTCTTGTTTCGGTTGCCAAATTTATGACATGAAAACAGAAAACAGGAAACGAAAATAAAAGTGAACAGGGCCTTAGTTTACAATATTAGAGAACCCCATTAGTTTAATGCCAAAATGTTTAAACAAATCGTGATATATTGGTAGGAGATTTGTGTTGGTACTTAAAAAACTAACAAATTTATTTCACACCAACTCTCACCAACATGAATGCACAAACACGCACACACTACAAATAAAAGGAGCAAAACAAATCCTTGCCCCAAATACAACATATACATTTACAGCAGGTTCCTCAAACAGATGGTTTAAGGTTACAGAGGTTGATTGACGATTTTCACTTTTCATAGTTATACATGGTTCTAACTAAATGTAGTAAAAACATAGCATTCTCTTCGACTGAGAATAGAAGGTCAAATTATGCATAACCAACCAAGCTGTTATATTTCAGTTAAACAAACATATATAGATGTACATAAACCCTATAATGAACTCAAATTAGCTATACGTTTGGGTAAATCAAGTGATAATGAACTCAAGCCATTTTGCATGAGGGAGAGAAAAGAAACCCTAAGATAGAAGTTTTCTATTACCTTGAATCGATTTGGAACTAGGAAATGACTGCGTCAAGGAATGTCGGATTACAGTTGCGTTGCTAAGCTGGAGTTACTGCGCTGGGAGGGTGGGACGTTTTGGCCGATGCAAGCGCCGAGCAAGTAGAATGGGTTGTATAGCTTGTTGTGCTCCCGGTGATGACTTTGGTAGTGGTGGATTTATGGAGTAGAGAGGAAAGAAGAACTAGGTCCATGGATGGACCATTTTAGATTGAAGCTGCCGCCCGAAGGGAAACGGATCAGGTCAGTAACCTTATGGTGAGTAACTATGAGTAATCCGCCCACATAAGCATGACATCAGCATTCTCTCTCTCCTGGAAAGCCTTTAATTCTCCCATCCTTAATCTTTGACGGACGATTTCTCACTCGTTTTAAGTCGAAATTTAATTTTTTTTGGACAGTTAGATCAGATTAATTGTACTCTTCAAAATGATATCCACTTTGATATATTTTTCGAACAAAAAAAATTGAGCCATTTTTTACGAGTCTATACCATATGATATTGACTAGTATTGAAATAAGAGCATACTTATGGTTTGAAAAGCGTACCATGGTGGTATGACACAAAACAAAACTGTAGGATAGTTGAATACATGATAGTAGAAGTATATTAATGGTCATTTGCGACTTTTAACATTGTATACCATAAGATACCACCCCATACCAGGGTGGTATTGTATGGTATTGTGTGGTATTTTTTTGTCTTGTAATTTGTTCACCCAGAAATTTGTAGATCCAATAGATCATGATGAACTCGTCCCTGCTGTGCAAACGTTTTCAAAAACGAATTAAAAACGAAGAAGATACCATATGGTATGCAGTTGGTACCGAGAGGCCAGAATTTTTTTTCCTAAAAAAATATTGAAAATTGATCTCATTTTGTAGAGCACGATGAACTCGTTCCATCTGTGCAAAAAAAAATTAAAATCCGAGTTAAAACGAAAAAGATATGAGTCAATTAAGAAAGCTAGTGAAAATAAAAATGACCTTTAATTCTCCATCCTTAGATCTGGATTTTCTAAATGAACGGTCCAGATTTGGTTATTGATAGGTGTATAACCCATAGTTATGCACCCTAACTTGAGCCCGCCCGAAGAGAAAGAGCAGCAAAAGGGGAACCCTAATTTTGGGAACTCCAATTCCCTTATATATCCCCACCTAAGGTGGCTACTTCGGTGCACTTACTTTTTTGGGTGCACTCAGTGCACCCAACTCTAAAAGCGTCCATAATACATCAAATTTTGAACTTTAATTAGTACTCTCAATAAAATATGATGATATGACATAGAATCATAACAAATCAATCCATTACCCTAACCCCTTAACCTTCAATTTTGAATCTCAACCCAAAATCCCAAATTGTAAACCTAAACCCTAAATCCCTAAATCCTAAATCCTTCGAATTAAAGTAAATTTTGAATGAATTTTTTTCAAATTCATGTGCTTCTTGTTCATAATATCATAAGCAACAATTGATACTATTTTGACATGAATCGCATGGTCAGAATGACAATTATGAGGCGGGTGCACTGAGTGCACTCAAAAAAGTGGGTGCACCGAATACAACACCCACCTAATTGCTACACGCATGACATATATGGTCGGGTTGGGTTTTGCGAGTTACAAAAATCTGAATCCGAACCCACCCGCAACAAATTAAATTCCTCAAAATCAAACCCCCACCCACCTGCAAATTTGTTCCCCTGATATATTTTCGACCCTTCGTCCCTTCCCACCTTCCCACCTTCGACCGAGCTTCCCATCTTCCCGGCTCCCGCTGCGCCGCTGCCATCCGACCCCCGCCGTCCCTGGCCGTCCCCGACGTCACCCGTCCCCGGCGTCCCTCTGTTCAGGCGTTCGGCTGCTCCTCTGTTCGCTCCAATCGCTCGAGTGCTCGACGTCGACGCCTCGTGGCCCTCTTCCAGGTCGAGGTCTGCTCCAGTCAAAGTCTGTTCGCTCGACCTACTCTCGTCGTCGAGGTCGAGGTCCTCTTCCTGTCGACTTACAGAGTTCCAGTGCTGCTTCAGTGGGGTGGAGAAACAAGGTTAGAAGAAGCATTGGTGGCAATGGAGAAGATTTCTGCAGCTTCAGCCATGGAATGGAGCATTGAGCTTGACAAGGGCCTTCGTTCGAGGAAGCCTGGTTAGTGTACTTGCTGAATCCCTTTTGCATAACTGACCGTCATTGAAAATTGAGCTCTATAATTTTTGTTCCTCAGGTCAAGCTGTCAAGGCCATACAACAAACCGGGAGCAGGCTCCAGCAGTGGGATCAGGAACCTGAACCCACAAAGGCAGCGCATAAGATATTTGACTTGGTCGCTGGGGAGGAGAGGTTCTTTCTCAACTGTATTCTTTTGAAGCTTTCTGATGCCTTCAGGTCAGGCGATAAAGATATAAGGGTCTCTGTTGTCAAGGTATTTCTATCACTGTTCAAGATGAGAAGGAAAACTAAGCGCTATCACGGGGTTATGTCAAAAGCCAAGATGTGCAATCCCTTGGAACTTCTGAAGAGAGTGAAGATTGTTTTTGATACTGGCGATTTAGAGTCAAGAGTTCTGGCTTTGGTCCTCTTTGGTAGCTGGGCTGAATTTTCGAGGGATAATGCTCATATCAGATATATAATACTCTCAAGCTTGGTCTCGTCGGAGGTAATGGAGGTGAGGTCAGTAGTCTTACCAAACTGGTTTTGGGTATGAAAAGTGTGCTGTTTTTAACATCGTGTGTTCTCATGGTGTTTGCTCTGCGTGCACTTTATATCTGCAGATTAGAAGGAAAGCTAGGATCTTTATTCTTAACCGTTTAAAGTGGCTTAGTAGGTGATGTGCTTTAGCCTACTCCCAGACCTTATTTTGTACAGGTTGTGTAAGAATTGTCCTTGTGCTTGCCGTCTGATAATGTTGCTTGAGCCCCAATTCTTTTCTCTCCTTAGTATTGATCATTTATGAAATGCTACAGACATAGAGATCATATGTTTCATGCTGACTCGATAGGATCAGCTGATGTGTCACATTTATTTAGTACATTTAGTCATGAGGGCAATCTCTTATTACTTTTTTAAATTGATAATTTCTGTCATCGGTATTCACAAATTTAGTTGCTGGAATTCCTCATCCCTTCTTTTCACCAAGTAAGCTATCAGTTAGATCTTGATTATGTTCTTACATGTAGTTCCTTATGAGAATAGCGGATTATGTTTGGATTCTTTTGTGTGTGCAGGTAAAAGCATCTTTGTTTGCTGCAGGTTGCTTTTGTAAGTTTGCATATGACTTTGCTCCTGTTGTCTTAGAAATGCTGCCTCGTATAGTGGCTTCATCCGAGCTATCATCAACTTTGAGAGCAGCTGGAGCAAATGTCTTCGCCAAAATGGGATACTTTTCACCTAATGCAGTTAATGGATACAAGGTTAATTGCCATCTTCAATCTACTCTCAATCCACGTTCTTTTTGTCTGGTGGTGATAAATTGCTTGTAGCTGGGTTTTGTTTCTTGTATTGTCACTGGCTTCTAATACTTTTATTTTCTCAGACTTGAGAGTATTAGAACTTGCAATTCACCATAGAGCGATTATTGATTTCTGCATTATTTCCAGAGGATACATTAGTTGTAGCTTTTAAGAGACACGAGGAGTTGTGCATGTAGGTGTAATTATGTACAAGAGTTGTCAGTTTTATGTGTCTTTGACAAAAAATAGACGTATCCCTATACCATATAGCAACTGTAACAGAAGGCTGAGTTACAACAAGGAAAAAAGTATAATAAAACATGTCATAAACTTTCTGTACACTGCTATCAGCTCCATCCATGTCATTCCACCCTAATCATTTTCGTATGAATTCTCTTGCTGTTTTTTATACTTCCCTTGATGCATGGTGAATAGCATGTGAAATTGTGTTATAAAGCAAGCCATACTTTCATTGTAGATCGGTCTGAAGCTGCTGCTATACTCTTCAGATGAGGATTTATCAGTCTCCTTGCTACTTTCGCTCTCAAAACTGGCTTATAAATCTAGCAGTATTCTACCTGATCAGGTTAGTGTTCCAATTTATTCATCTTCGATAAAATCATGATTATATTACTTCATCGATTTCATGAAGACATGCCAAGTGTAATGTATTGATATGAACTCTGGACTCTATTCCCCCTCACCCTTGACCCTGCATTTGCTGAAATATTTTGCTGATTATCTTCTATATTGACATTGAACTCCTGCTTGGAGTTGGGAGTTAAGCTTAGTGATGGTACAGTATACTTCTGCATGTGCAAATTTGTGAAGAGCTTGCTGTGGCGATTATCTAGAAGCACATTTCTCCCTGTAAGGTTACTAATTTTACAAGTCCTGATGCAGGTAGAAGTGCTTTTATCATTTCTTAGCCAAGAGAAACCTTTACACCAGCAATCAACAGCCTTAAGGTGCCTTCGACTTTTATCATCTCCAGTTTGTTCCCATCCTGTTGGCCTCCTAACCGTCAAACCCTTACTGAGGATTGTGCATGATACTAAACTGCCCATATCTATGCAATGCGACGCACTACGGATTCTGCATAAGGTTTTTCCTGAATCTGAACTTCTGATTTTTATCGTATTCAAACTTTGTTACATATTTATAGTGACTCGACTTGCAGATGTTTAAGTACCAAAAGATGCACATGCCTGGTGATGTGATGCGTGAATTTTCTAAAGTTCTCACCATTTTGGATAATGCAAACCAGTCAAATATAGAGTCCAACCGTGTTCTAGTCATCTCTATCCTAGCAGATGTGCTCATTAAGAATAGCAGAAAAACTGGCACAGAGCTTGATGGAAACTGTGATTCTTTTCCTTCCCTGACATGGATCATCTCGACAATTATCGGTCAGATCATCTCACTGGTGAAGCAGTTGTTGGATAGTAATCGGTACTGGGATGTAGCACTTCCAGAAGTACGGAGGTTGCTTGCTGTTCTTCTTTTTGTAGCTGGAGAACATCTTGTTCAGGGAGTCATTGTACTGGATAGAATTAGATTGGTAATTGATTATCTTGTGAACCACTTGCCCCAGAAGGCTATTGTCTCAACAGTAACTGCTCCAACTGGTCAGGAGATGGATCATTTTAGAGCGAAGAACTTCGGCACTAGTCTGAAGATCGCCAATCAAGTTCACAAGTTCGCAGTAGCATGCATTCAGAATCTCATTGAACTTGGTGCCAGTGCTGCTGAAGTACTAGACAAAGTAAAGATGTTGGTTGATTGTGTACACAGGTGCAGTTTATTTGGTTCCTATGTGCAGGCAGTTTACTCTATACAGGTGCACTCTTCAGTGTTTTGGGGTTGTGCTGTCAACAAGAGCAAACAAGGTTGTAGTCCAAATAGGCAATTGGGGGATTCGGATTGTGATCTCTTGATTAAGCATGAAATTTTCACCCTTGAGTGTGTCATGGAGATGCTGAAAGAGAAGAATTTCTGGCAGTTGTACACGATTGGAAAATTCGCAGCAGGTCAAGGAGCGTGGGTCACAGCTAAATTTATATTTGAGCAAATAGCAAGCAAGGTTCAATCAGAATCCTCCTCTTGCTGGTTAAAATCACTAGCTCAGCATGCCCAATGTGAGATGAGAATTCAGTTGTTTCTCTTACCAAAACTAAGGTGCAGTTTAGCAGAGTGGTCACTAACAAAAGAGATCCCAATTCTCTATTTCCGGAACATCTCTTGTGGCAGCGTTGATCAAGGTGTTTCTGTTCAAGTCTGTGGAGAAAGTTATGGTGAAGTGCTTGTAGAAGCTCACAACAGTATACGTTCTTCTGCGGAAACCCTGGATTGTGTTGTCAAGTTTGGCAATTCATTTTATTTCCAGAGATGGTTTTTGGCTTTGAGAATGCTGGTCCTTACAACTGTATATGATGTGCTCAAAGTGTTAGGTTCTAGCGGCAGTGGGCATGCTGAAGGAAGTTTAGCACATGGTCTCAGTTCTGTACAACAAATTACGCAATGTTCATTTCGTTTGACGAGACTAGCACAAGAACTGGATCTACTCTACATTTCTTTCATTAACATGGACACCAAGAGTTCAAATATCATCTCGGCCCTTGCTTTGAGTTGTTCACTGTTGGCTTTCACTTCTGGGACAGCTGCTTCTTTTGCAACTGTGCATGCAAATGACAATAGCAATCTGCATCTCAATAGAATGTCGATAGAAGACTTGGCTGGTCGATTGTGGCTCATAGATCCTGACACCTGTTCTATTCTGTTCCAACTTTTGGATGTCAGTCTGGGCATAGACCATCCTCATGTCCAGCCTAGGAATCAGAAGCTGGAAAGTGGTGAAGTAAGAGATATCACCAGCATCTGTCACGATGTTGTTTCTCGTGTAGATGGATTTCGAAACGAGTTAAAAGACCCAGTTGATAATGTGGAAGCTCTGCTCAAAGTTACTGTAGAAAGCTTCCAGCTTCTGTTGAATACTATTGTCAAATGGCTCCAAATTCCTTTCAAGCTCCCTATGTACTTCTTCAAAACAAGGTAACACTATTTGCCCCCTCTTCATCATTTCTTTCCTTAAGTTCGTAGGATAATACAGCAATGAAAAATCTTTATTGGATTTCTTTGCAGTAAGAAGCCATTTGGTTGGATGTATTTGGGGAAGTGATATTGATAGTGACATGCAACTGAACAAATATTATCATTTTTGCCTAACACTTTCAACATGTCTGAGTGTAATTGAGATAGTACATGGAGTCGCAAACATACCAGGGTTACTAAGCATCGAGATGTGCTCTAAAAATATGTTCTTTTCCCCTTTTCCTTTTCTGCTGAACAGTTTCTGTTTGCAAATACACCTTACATGACAGCATGCAATTTACACAAAACAACCTGTGCTGTCTTTTCATTCAGTCATTTAGTTCTTTCTCTCATGCTTGATATTTGTGTTCAAATCCAGGCCTTGCCTTGTCTCGGAGCTCTTCACCTCCAATGCTGATGCCACCAACCAAAACGAGTTGATTGTCCAGCCAGGATGCGACCTCTCTCTGAACCTATGCATCCAACTTAAGAACTTGCCAGATCTCCCCACTCCCATATCGAAACTATATTGCATAGTCTATTCCATCACATCTTTCGCAGAGTCCAGTCCAACCAGCAGAGGAACCAAGACGGGGCAAATCCAGCGAGTGGACTTCAAAGACTGGCACATGGATGACATGGTGCAGGCTAATGAGAAACTGTTCCATCACGTGAGAGACCGTGCTAACAAGACTACTGATAGGGGCCGTAAACGTCCCAGGGTTGAGGAAGGGGTTGTTCAGAGTGTTGTTCAGTTTGAGGTGAACAACAGGGGGCAGGGGTTTTCAAGTTGCGTGCTTGGTGTATCTGGTTTTCCGGAGGGCTGCTACCGGATCAAGTGGCACAGCTGTTGTGTTGATGGTAGAGGTCGTTATTGGAGCCTCCTTCCTTCGAATTCTGGACCTGTATTTACTGTGTGCAGAAGCTGAAGCTACCTGTTGTAAAAAGTCGATTATTTTGACTTCTGTAATTTGATGAAACGGTGGTAAATAGATTCTTCTTTCAGACCGTCTCTGGTTCTTCTGAACGGTGAATGTGCTCTATTACTGTGTTATATATGGTTTACAGTTTTTGCTCACACATAGACACGCTTGAGGTGGATGGCTTCCTTCTTCTATCCTGAAACAATGAGAAAAGCTAGAGATCAATGGAAATGGCAGAAGAACTAAGGCCAAAACAACGAGAACAGGGAGCAGTGAGCCTGTGAGATAGAATAGAAGCACAAAATAATGAAAAAAGCTTGAGAATGTAATAAAAATGTCAGAAGTGGGATTTGAACCCACGCCCTCTCTCGAGGACAAGAACTTGAGTCTGGCGCCTTAGACCACTCGGCCACCCTGACGATGTTGAACTTTGATAGCTTAAGTGTATTTACACTCGGTGTAGAAGGTATTTGTCATTTTAAATATTTGATGGAAATGTAAGTGGGTATCTACTTTAGGTTTAGAGCAGGGTGTTGCTTGGTAGAGAATTTGTTGGTATAAAAGAAGAGATATATATGAAGGGTCTATGCTCAATGGGGCTAATTTAGTAAAATTGATTAATCTGTAATTCCCAACCTCTATTCATTTAGATATTAGAAATCGAATTCTAGTGATTGATAATTAACAATGAGAGACAGGTTTCCAGCTACCCGTGAAGCACAATCTATATCATAGTCATAGATTGCATAATCCCATACCAAAGATAATTGGCAGCAGTCAATAGCTTAATTCTCTAATATATACCACAATTTGCCTAAACCATACCACAAACTTATAGATTCTTATAGTTCAACATCAACAGTTAAATGATGCCAAGAAAAAATTGTATACTTTATACAAAAAATTATACCAATGGTAACCTCCATGAGTCTATGCATGTATATAGATCCTGTTCATGGATTAACGAAAATGTGCCAAAGCTCTATTTGCCTCTGCCATTCTATGAGTCTCTTCCTTTTTGCGAATGACATCGCCACTCCCTTTGGCAGCATCCACTAATTCCAACAATAGTTTATACCAGATTTTTCTTAATGCATACAAAAAATCACTTAAATCATACCAAAAAAAAACTTGGAATCGGAATGAATAAAGGATCAATACCACGTATAAGACATCGTGTAATGGGTACACAAATGCCGAAAATTCATACTACTACCATGTAAGATGTAACAACAATCAATATCACAACATAATGTTTATGAGAAACATTAAAAAAAAAACCCATACCAGTGAAAATCACAAGTTTCGTGTACGTACATGATAACATTGTAAATCACAAATTTCCTGACAATTGGATACTAGCCACAATACTGCATTTATTCAAGAAGACACAAATATGTAACTTTGGGATGGGAGAATGAAATTGTGATTCTTTGGTAGCTCTCAAGTTCCTGCTGCAGCAAGCAATACCAATTCCAGAACAGGAAGGCTGCAGCCCACATATATATCCAACGTACGTAACGTAACTAGACTTACCCCTGATTTAGCTACTTAGGGTTGCCCGATGGTACAATAATAATAATAATAATGTTTCTTCCACACGAAGCAAATATCTATCTGCCAGCTTCCATTTCCAACGACCTCTGGTTCTAACCAACCCAACTTCATCATCATAAGCGAAGCGACACCATCGAAAAGATGGTCCCTTTCAGAAAAAGACACCAAATTAAAGTAGGCATATGTTTAAGTAACAAAAGTTGCTTAAGTTAAGAACGAACAAATCATGCATGATGATAAGTTCCTTTATTTTCCTTTTGCTCTTCATCACCCTACCGCTAACAAAAGAGTTGAGTTCATCATCTCATTATTTGATTTTGGAGTACAATGCATCAAGGCTTTTGATCAATCATTTTGGTCGTCGATACTGATCCAGCGAACAAAGTTAGTCCATCCTTTTTAATGAGTAAACTTGTATTATCTTTGAAAAAGAAGACTAGAAGAGATTCCACTTGTAATGACTTCTTTTCTTTGTTATGAAATAAATTTTGTTTAAATAGCCAAAAGCACCAATTTTAACGGAAACGTCTTCCACTTACCCAAAATACTTACGTGGGTTACTGTTCACAATATTGGAGGTTTATAATGTGGCCTGCCCTATGATAGACCCGTCCTTGGTAGACAAAGGAGAGAAGCAGGGATAGGTAATGGGTTGATTGGCAGAACATATATCTGGTAATCTAATTGATCCACGTGTATAGGAAGGGTAGTCATTTTTATAGATGATAATTGGTGAATAATAAATAAGGTTAGAAATCGGTTGATTCAATTTATAATCAGATCGGAGTGAGACAGGACGGAATCAAGTACAAAGAAAAATGAGGATCACAACTGGTCCGAAAGCATGCTTGATTTATTTGGTTCGGTACAAATTCAATTTTGATTCATTTTTTCTTCATACTTAAAATAATTCGTAGAACAAAAATATATTCAATTCGATCCAAATATCGATTTAGTACGATTCGGGCCGGTGTTAGCCGGATCGTTTCCTACCCTTAACTATAAATGACATTAATGGATAAGAGCATTAAATATTATATAATTAAAAACACAAATACTTTTCTCCACGGGTACTATTCAGAATGAGGTTTTATCACATATACCCATTTTACCATAGTCATCTTTTTTCTCATTTTCACCAATACTATTCACATGAATTTTATCATCTACCACCAATTCTACGATAAGTCTAAAATTCATATGAAATTCTATGATAAGTCTTTTTTCTCTACAACCTGCTATTTTTTCTCTACTGAGTACTCTTTATAATGAGGTTTTATTTCATTCCCCCAATCTACCATAATTCCATATTTTTCTCCTTTTAATCAATACTATTCATATGAGTTTTATCATCTACAACCAATTCTACGATAAGTCTATAGCTCATATGAAGTTCTATGATAAGTCTTTTTCTCTACATAGATTAGTTATTAAATATATGATTATTAACTTAAACTCCTTTATTTTTCATATTTATTACTAAATAGTATGAACAATATTTAATTTCCTTTACTATTAAAAGAAAATTCATTATTGTTAACTAAAATATTTAGCATGTCATCAGTTCGCATTATGCAAGATTAGTTAACTTTGACATAGCAGATTTAATCATACGTTACTTTCTAAAATTTAATTTTATCATTAGACCACATATTATAAAAGATTTATGTAACAATGTTCTATAACAGTTCTTTATCTCCTACATACAATTTTACCATAAGCTTCTAATTAGTTAACTTTAATCATATATTACTTTCGTGTTACTTTCTAAAGTTACTAAAGTTTTATTTTAATATTAGACCACACCAATGCAGTCAAAATCGCGCTTTAAAACTTAAAAACTTACGATTTTACGCTTTTGGGTCACCAAACCGCTTTCGTTTCCATATAAAAACTTAAGAGTATAAAATCAAACTAAATTGCATTTTAAAGCTTAAAAGCTTACGCTTTTACGTTTCTAGTTCACCAAAACGCTTTACGTTTTTACGCTTTTAGTTCACTAAATGAGTATTTTTTCATGAAATTAATTATAAAAAGTATATTTTAAAAGTAAATCACCAACCATATGATACATTTGTGATTAAAAAATACATACCAAGTACTTGGATGCATTCTCAACTTCAATAGAGTGATCTAATTCACCAGCTAGGCTCTTCCCGAATTCATTAGCATAGAGGAAAAAGTGGCTTATTGTTAAAATTTATATTTACGAACTTATTATTAAGATGCTATAAGTTGCTCTACTTTAGGCATGAATTGCATGTATTTATTAACTTATCTAAATTCTGGGCATTCATATTTTATGTAGTATATGTCCTACTAAATAGATTTTTAGTTATTTTTCAGTATGCGTCAAAAACTTACGCTTTTACGCTTTGATACTACGCTTTACGATTTTACCCCTTTTCCGCTTCTAGGTAGAATCGCGCTTTTGACTGCATTGGACCACACATTATTATGAAAAAAATTATGTTACGACATTCTATAAAAGTTACATAAATTAAAAATTCATACTTAGTATAATTTGATTTCATTATTAGACCACATATTATGAAAGATTTATGTAATAATATTACATGAGTTTTCTTTAACGATTATGACACTACGTAAAGTTAATGGACAAATAATCATTTTATATGTATCAACTAAAAATAATAATATGTAAGTTTTCCATAGTGATTAAACACTATATAAACCTTATATAAAAATAGTTATTTACTATGTATCACTTAAACAAATGGATGATGTATACTATACGTAATAATTAAGACATTACGTGAAACTTACATATGTATCTTATGTGAATAATTATGTGAATTATTGGAATTTAACTAAATCATTAGTTTCTTACCACGGCAGAGCGCGGGCCAAAACACTAGTTTATGGAAAGTCGACAAATAAAAGTCACGGCAATCGCATCCTCTGATAACTACATTTGCGCTCCAATGTTTCTTCAAGGGCTTTGAGTTTTTCTAACTAACTTTTTCATAGGGGAAACTATCTTGTTGTTGCGCCAAGCACACCCACAATTGTCAGTGAGCTTTAGGTGGACAAAACAATAGAGTAGTGTATATGGTGACTAATAAAAAGTCCTCATTTTGTCTCCGGCTAGAGTCCCTTTTTATTTTTGCACTTGGCTCCATGCAGAGTTGTAAACGTTATATTTTTTATTTTTGATAATATAAGCTGCCATTGGTATAAAAAAGGAACTATCTCATTGTTTATCTACCATCAAGTTTCATTTCGGGTTTTTTCCCCTTCAAAAATTAAAGGAGATACCATCATACCAACAACACATAACAACATATTTGTTATGAGGCAATCCAAATAGCAAATTGGAAATTCAAGTGAAAAGACTATTGTATATAAGTGACCACCATTCTCCATTAATAAGAGGCATTTTGGAAGGATTCCAAAAGCACATTCGTGTGGGCTTTGGTTTCGACATGTGATATCAGAGAATGGGTCAAATCCATGGTGATGAACTTTATAGTGGGCCATCATTTCGTGACCTAGGGATTTGATATATCCGTCTGTTTCGCGTATCAATCGAGATATGCATATGGTAAGAGCACGGCGATACAAGGTGTTTGACGGATCAAGCTAATCGCTTAGGATAGGACAGAAATTTCATGGTTCTTGTATTACGAGGAGGATTGTTATGAGACAATCTAAATCACATCAAAATACAAGAGAAAAGACCCTTCTATAATATAAGTGCCCACCAAACTCCATTACTAAGAGACTTTTCGGGAAGTAACCAAAAATAAATTCGAGCGGATTTGATAAGCGAACAATATCATTCTAATGAAGCATCTAATCACAAAAATACCTGTAATCCAGATTAAAAATAAAGTAGTGAATAAATGATGGAAAAGTAGATCACATGCATTACCCCAATTTGCATTATCCATATGTAACCGAGGCTGTGTTTTGATACACCCCAACTAAAAACCTCACGAGTATTATATTAGTTTGTTGGTGTTAATTAAATTCTAAATCTAGTTATAGTCTTCCCACAACAGTTAGAATTTTGGTTCTGAACTTTTTCGTTATACTACAAACTAACTATTGTTTTGAATCAACAAATAATATGTATTTGTTGCTAATTATATTCCAAAAATCACCCACATCTGAATTTTTTTCAAAGATTAATTTAGTAACTACTACAGATACTTGTTTGGTTCCATTAATTTTACTAACTACTTGAATCAAGAATTCACCAGTCAAAGCCTTAATAATCCGTTCTTCCGTAGGTGCAATGTGTTAGCTAGTATTAAACCACTCTTGACCGATCAAATACGAAAACGAAGAAGACAACAAAACACACTGTTTACGTGGTTTCCCCGAGATCGGGACTAGTCCACGAGAGAGCTAAAACTCTCCGAGCTGATTATCTTATTAGGTTTTTCCTTGAGTCGGTACATCGTCAGTTTACATGTATATATTGCTGTCTAATCCTAGCTCACGTAGTCACATGCTAGGGCTCGGTTTCTACCGCCACAAACTCCTACGTACATGTTACTATAACAATGGGCCAACACAAACCAACCAAACAAAATCATACGAGCCCAATCCAGCCCAAAACCGCTAACACAATGATCATTGTAATTTTATTATTGAGAAGAGATATACCACGTGGCTGCAGGCTACGGCATAGAAACCTCCGTCCACGCTACGCTAGCAACTGGTCAACAGAAACTTGAAGTACATCCTTTGATCGTTAGGTTAATTAGGACATCTGAAATCACCTAATTCATGTAATGCAAGTTGGTCTGATTTTAAATGTGGGAATATCAAAATAACTTATTAACTACTGCATGCGTTGTAGTCAGCTGATCCGTACGGTTCCATACTTAATCGAAGAAGAAGAGATTAAGTATATTTAATTATTTCGAAGCATTGACCTTGGCCCGGCTATCGTATCATACATCACATAAACTTCAACCCGAAAATTAGTTGAAGTTCTTAAATAGGAGCGGATAATGGGTGGGTTGTTTCGCTTTTAAATTGATTCATCCGTTTAGTAATTAACGAGTTGATACAATTGTGATCCACTACCATCTGCATTCTTCTTCGGTTGGGTTGAGTGGATGCAGTTGGGTTGTGAGTTCCATAATTTGGCTAATATTATATTAAATTCGTCACAAAATAGGAAGACACTAGCAATTTAGACATTTTCTAATTTGTCTCTTGTGGATAGGTTTTGTACCTTTGACATGTAAAAGTCTTTTATTAATTACTCAAACCAACTTTGCAGTTGATCACTTACTAAATGATGTATTTGCAGACAAAGAAAACAAAGTCACTAGCCAAATATTTCCGGAGACCAATGCTCTTTTTGGTGTGTTGATTTCCATTCTTTGACAGAGATATCAAATCTCTTGACTATTCGTTAATATGAATAAGAAATATTTGTTTGCCATTAGAATCACGATCCATCCACATCCAATTTCAGCTCACACCCACTGTTGTTTGAATTATTTACGAGTAGCTCGATGTCAAACCGAAAATTAACCATCCACATGCCCCCACTAATTATTAATGCTCACTGAAATTAATAATTTAGTACCTAACTGTTGAAAAGTTAAGAAAAGTGGAAAATGGGAATTGGTAGCGATCAAGAATGAGTTGAATAGAAATCATGTAAAACCTGAAAATGAATTGGAGGGAGTTGAGGAGGTTAGCTATCTAATTATGTTTTAACTCTTTCCACATTTTGGTGTCTCCTCCAGATATATCATTAACCACATAAGGAAACGAAAGAAGAGTTTGATAGGCATAAAACAATGCCCTTTAATTTCTTCTTGTATAAAAAAAAAAAAAAATATGAACCCCTCGATCGGCTGGCTCCACAGAAACAAGAAGAAAACACGTACAAAACAACACGCTCGAATTGAAGCCAAAACAAGGCTGGGGATTTGTTCCCGACACAACACCGCAACTACCTAACTAGCTACAACAAATAGCAACAACCAACCAATGGACGGACGGACTCCTCGTACCGGAAACTCCAACAAGGCAGCAGCACCAACCACTCCTTTCATTTTGCCGTCGCCGAAGATCCACTGTACGTATATATTAATTAGTGTCTTTCAAGAACCATTCCACGAAACAACTTGCCACAAAAAGTCCTCAATTTGCTTGTAAGAGCTTCACGACGGCAATCTGATTAAATTGACAAGTCTGATCAAAATGTAGCGTCGCTATCCAAACTAACTCTTCACAAATAAGTCCTCCTCCGTCTGAAATCTGAATCATCTCTCTCTAATTGAGGCTAGAGAAAAATCATTATGTTTCCCTCATTTTTGTTGTTTTTGCGAGGTGGGAGACTACCTTCTCTTGCATTCTTCATCGTGATTTTGTTAAGTTTGGTGTCTTTTAGAAGGGGTTAATTGCAAGGATGGTCACTGGGTTTACTAAAACCGTTCATGTTTGGTCACTGCAAATATTTAATTCCATTCATGGTCACTAAGATTAGTTCAAATGTTCAAGTTTGGTCACTCTCCGTTAGATTTTGCTGATGTGGCAGTCAACTATTATAGTTGACCGTTAAATGAGTGACGTGGCCAATAAAAAAATAATAAAATTTAAATATTTACAATTTCCACCTCATTTTACAACTATTAAAAAATAAAAATAAAAATAAAAATTGGCTCCTCTAGCCGTCGAGTGGCTCCGATTGTGCTCCCCTGCTTGGGATAGATATGCAAATAATAGCAAGCGCAAGAGTAGAAAGTGAAAAATCCAGGGCAAAGGAGCTTCTCATCCCCCAATCGTTCATTCTCCATATCTTCCCCTTCTTCTCCCTCAGGAAATCTAGCCAGAAACCAAGGCTTCTTTTAACAAGGCATTGATGAAAGAAAGAACATTTCACCAAATCTAAAAATTCAACTCTGTATGAGGAACATAGTCATTCACTCTACCTTGAACCTTCTCATTCACAGCATCAACTTCTTCAGCATGCTTCTCATGGATTAGATAAACCACTTCGTAATGCCGCACTACGAATACAAAACAAAGGAAACAGATAAGAACAAAACCCTCAATTCAACCATAGAAGTACCTTCTGAAATGAGTTAAAAACCCAGTAAATTGGTGGGGGAAACTGCACGCGGAACAAAAGGAAATGTTGTATTACATACTCAGGTCGTCCTTCAAATCGCTCTGAAGCTCCAGGTTAAGAAAGTCGTATAGCTCTTCTGCAGAAATCAAACGAACAATTACCCATCACAACCACAATTCAGCAATTTCTTCAAGAGAAACAACACGGGGATAGAGATAACGAGTTTTACCTTCTTCGTCATCAGCGAATTCGGGCATAACGCTGCCGTCTTCCTGCACTTGTTTCTGCAAATCCATGGCAGCATAGAGAGCTTAATTCGAGAGGAATAAAGATAAAAAGGCAAAACCCCACTACCCAGTAAACCCCCCCTGGAAATGGCGAGAGAGATTTACCTGCCGGAGAAGAACGGCTTCGGGGAAAGGTCCTGTGGATTCATCTTGTTTGGGAGCGAAGTAATGGCTGTCGTCGTCGTATTTCTTGTCTTTCTTCTTCCGAGCGCGAACTGCAGCGGTCGATTTCCTCCTCAAATTGAGGAACGACAGAGGAGCGGAAGGAGAAGAGGAGGAAGAGAAATGAAGGGGGAAGTTGAAGGAGAAGGCAGAGTTCGCCTTCTCGACGGCCAGAGGAGGTAAGTTTTATTTTTATTTTTATTTTAAATAGTTGTAAAATGAGGTGAAAATTGTAAATATTTAAATTTTAGTATTTTATTATTGGCCACGTCACTCATTTAACGGTCAACTATAATAGTTGACTGCCACATCAGCAAAAACTAACGGAGACTAACGGAGAGTGACCAAACTTGAACTATTGAACTAATCTTAGTGACCATGAATGAAATTAAATATTTTCAGTGACCAAACATGAACGGTTTTAGTAAACCCAGTGACCATCCTTGCAATTAACCCCAGAAGTAATACAATAGGTAGAAACTCGAAATGTATTAAATACAACTCCATTAAATTCTCTTATATATGCATTTTGATCTTTTCCCCGGGATGTTAGTACGTAGCAGACTCAACACTTATAGTTGATTCGGATGTGGTGACTCATCCAATCAATTGATTTCAGTCGAATCATAGACGAAAGAAGAGATTATTGTTAGTCACTATATAATGGAAAGAAGGACCTAATCATAATAAATTATTGAGTAAAAGGACATATATGTTAGCCTTCTGTACCAAAGAAGCTTAATTCAGATATTAATCTAAGACTTAATTACTTACTAATATCAAAAGTCACATGACAAAAAATATCTAAATTCAAAAGCTAGCTAGCTAGGTTGAGAAAAGTAATAATCATAGACTTTTACATTTATAAATGATCTAAAGCATGCGGGAAAAAAGAAACACATGTAGTATTATTTGTACATTAACCTAATTATGTTGTAGGAAAGTGAGATATGAAATACTTAAGTACTCTCTAATAGAAAAAGTCACAGCACAAAAAATATGCAAAACCTAGCTATCTTTTGAAAAGTAGTACCGGCATAAATATGATCTAAAGCATGCAAGAAAAAGTAACACATGTATAATATTGCAGGAGGGTGGGTACAAATGCTACATGTATTATTGAAACCTCAAGATTACTTTCCAACATATGCTTCTTCTTTTTTTCCTAATCAAAATTTCATTTTCAATGAAACTTTACTTTCAATACTACTTAGTAAGTAATTGAAAGTATCCAACATATCTCACTATTGTTGGAATGATAACAAATATCGAACCATAAACTCAAAGATATGTTATAAGAAGAAATTTGTCACAAACAATAAATTCCAACCCTGAGGAACATTCGAGAAGCTCATGAAAATGATTTAGGCTAACACAACATCACTATCAGTGATTACTATGAAGTAATACAAAAGTGTAATGACGGCCAAAACTCGAACATAAAAGATAAGACCTCCCTAATCCAAACTTGTGACTTTACGAAACCAATTCCAGTATTCCACCACCCTATGAAAAAATCAAATTAGTATATGTTAATGAAAATGTTAATGCGGTCCAAATTTTTTAAAAAAGAGAAGGAAAGAAAGAAAACAAATCACTAATCAGCCGTGTCTCTGTTTCTCTCCCTGATCTCTTTCACGAATATGAACCAATTTTGAATTTTACTTAATCGGATCTTGTTTAGACCCTTCTCTTGTTATGCTCAACCTCTTCTTCCTTCTTCTTTGTTTTCTTATCCTTCTCTCCTCTCCATTAAAATACGATCTCCCATTCATTATAAATAATGGCGAGACAGGATGGAGTTAAGAGGGCACTATTTACAGCATATATTACTACTTAGCCCAACCGCACGAACTTCCTCCTCCTCCTCCAAACCAAAAACCACACGAAAAGGAAAAGAAGCTGCCAAAATACAACAACAGCAGAAAAGGAAAAAGAACCACAACCAAACAAAGCTCCAAAGCCAGGATGAGAATGAACAGGGATGCTCTGTTTCTTCTCATCGCCTCCTTCACATTTCTACTACCCATCAACGGCGACAATAGCTACCACCTCCAGCAAATGAAAGCAATGCGGGAGCTCAGGTCGTCCATCTCCTCCCGCCGTCAACTCGCCGCCGGCGACGCCCCCGCTCCTTCCCCTGTCTCCATCTCTCCATCGCCGCAGGTACAATTTTTTTCTTTCCACCTCCCCCCTTTGGATTAATTCGACTGAAATTCAGGAAATTGATCCTCCCCCAGCAGATGGCGCAGGTCGGCGATTCGCCGCGCGTATACGACGTCACCTCCTACGGCGCCGATCCGACCGGCGGTCGAGACAGTACGGACGCATTCTCCACCGTACTTTCCGACTTGGTGAAGGGGCCCACCTCCGGCACCATGCTGAAAGACATAAAAAATTTCGGCGGCGCACAAATTCATCTCGCCGGCGGGAACTATCTCATCAGCAAACCTCTCCGGTTCCCCTCCGCCGGCGTCGGCAACGTCGTGGTCAGTTCTCTCTTCACATACTCCCATTTCCCCTGTTTATTTCTTTACCATTTTCAAATCTTCAGACCAAAAACATTTTAATGTCTTGCTTGCCCTCGTATTCACCAAAGAAAGAAGATGTGTACTGTGTAATATATTTTACTTTGGTCCGTCGCCTTTCGGCTCGATCGAAGACTCTCTGTTGTCTATTGGTGCTTTTTTCTTTTCCTTCTTCTCCCGTCGACGGATGATAAGATTATTTTTATATTATTATTTGGGTTAAAGATTAAAGAAATAGCTGTCTTCACTTTCAGGGCCTTTCTCTGTTGTCCTTGAGAAACGTCTGTTAAAGCGTCACGTGGCACGACACGTCCTTGATTTTATTTTTGCTTTTTTTTTTACCCTTTTTGAAGGTCCTAATTTAATTTAATTGGCCATGGGAAGTTGGGAATGGGAACCCTCACCCTACCCTACCTTACCTTACCGGCTTACCCTAACCTCCTCATTACACTGAACCGTCACCACTTGCTTGCTCAGATTTTCGGGTCCTACCCTGAACATCTATATGGGTGGGGCCGTGGGGAGACTCAATCGGTTAGCGTGCTTATCGTATTCGATATGAATAGCGTTAAATCGAGTTTTTGATGGCGAGACATTGGATCCTAACACTATAGTTGAGGGTGTAAGTATTTTAATCGAATCCTGAAAAACGGCATAGCTGACATATGTAGGCAGAGCAATTCAATGTGAATTGGTAGCTTTTTTTTTTTTTTTTTGTCAAAGAAGTTGATTCAAGGAGGTAAGAGTGGTGAAGAAAGTAAATGCTTTGCTTTGAAATCATCTATGCATCTTTTATGGACATTGAAATCGGCAGCATTGTTGATGACGACGACATGGGATTTGCTTAGTTCCAACTTCTAACCACTTCTCTTTCTCCTCCAACCTACATTTTCCACTACAATACAATTTTAGGAGGGCAAAGAAGGATGGAAAGTCCCAACTACTTTTCTTTCTCTTTACCAAAACAAACAAAACTCCAACCATCTACAATTTCAAAACATGTAGGATGCATAATATTCAAATAATTGGATTTACTCAAGTGTTTTATGGAGTAAAACTTCTTTGCTGTGTATTATATATGGTTGATCTAGCTAGCTAGTTCATTTTGATGTTATACAACTTGTGTATTCTATTTATTATATTTGAGTTGGTGATTAATATTAAAATACAGATCGTCGGAGGGAGCCTACGCGCGTCGGACGATTTCCCGACCGACGGATACCTAATCGATTTGTCGTCCAAGTCGTCGTCGGACTACGACTACGAGTACATAACACTGAGAGACTTGATGCTGGACTCCAACTTCCGAGGCGGCGGCATCTTCCTCAACGACGCCGTCCGAATCACCATCGACAACTGCTACGTCACCCACTTCACCACCGACGGAATCTCCGTCAACGGCGGCCACGAGACCCTCATCCGGAACACCTTCATCGGCCAGCACATCACCGCCGGCGGCGACCCGGACGAGCGGAAGTTCTCCGGCACCGGGATCGCCCTCAACGGCAACGACAATGCCGTCACCGACGTGGTCATCTTCTCCGCCGGCGTCGGCGTCATGATCACCGGCCAGGCCAACATCCTCACCGGCGTCCACTGCTACAACAAGGCCAGCGGGTTCGGCGGCACCGGGATCTACATCAAGCTCCCGGGGCTTTCGCAGACGCGAATCGTCAATTCCTACATGGACTTCACCGGAATCACCGTCGAGGATCCCGTCCAGCTCACAATCTCCGACACGTTCTTCCTCGGCGGAGCGTACGTCGTGTTCAAGTCGGTCAAGGGCGTGGCGAAGGGGGTGAGCGTGGTGAACAACATGTTCAGCGGCAGTGGCGGCGATACTGTTCGATTGGAAGGGGAATTCAATGAAATCGGCGGTGTTTTGGTGGACGGGAATAGTGTCAACGGCGGGATGAATTTGAAGGCGACGGTAGCGCGTGGGTCGACGAGTGCAAACGGGACGTCGTGGACGGTGGATTTCAATTCCGAGTTGTTGTTTCCCAATAGGATCTCCCACGCGCAGTACTCGCTCGTCAGCTCCACCGCGGGGGCGTTTCCGAGGCACGCGCTGAGGAACATTACCGGGAATGTGGTTGTGGTGGAGTCGGACGTTCCGGTGACGGCGAGCGTGTTCGCGGCCGTGAGCCAGTGATTTATTATTTTAGCTTATATTTAATTAGTTGGTTGATTAATGTGAAAAGGAAAAAAAAAAAAAGAAAAAAGAAGAAGGAATGGGTGATTGATTAGGTGGAGGTTATATTCTTTTTCCAATTTGTTATTTTGTTGGGTTTTTCTTTTGGGCCCAATTGTTAATAGTGGAGAGAGACGGCCCAGAAGGGCTTCGCAAAGCAAACCACAAGTCTTTGCTTTGGAATTTGTTACGGGCTACGCATCATTATTATTCAATATATTATCGGTTATTATTAAACACTCTAAAACCATGGCGAATGTTATATATGATAAGATAATGATAAAATATTTTGTGTTCGAATTATAGTTTAATCGTAATTTCAATTGTTTTATAAGGATAAAATATTATATTCTTTTCAATTCTGATAGATAGTTTTTTTATGGACACCTTACACAACTCAATTTAACAAAAACTGGTTGTTAATTATTAGTTTCTTATGAACATGATCTAAAAATTAATATGATATATGCGAATTTGTGAAAGCATAATTGGTCACACCATACAAGTTTAGTGAAATACTATTTGAGGGGTGTAATAACTACTAACATACAACTCTGACATAATAATAAACAATTTCTATGATCCGAATGACTGATATGATAAAGTTATATTTGCAATGCAAAATTAAATTTGTATTTTCTTTATCAGTTTACAATCTCATATATTTGGACTCCTAAAACTTCTTTAATAAAAGAGACTCCCATGGGGAAAATTTTTACAAGTAAAAAAGGGAGTTGCTAAAGGTCGCCCTTAAAATTGCTAAAGGTCGCCCTAAAAAGAATAAAAGTTACACTTTTAACCCCCATTCTTTACCTTCCCTTCCTCAAACAAACATCACTTGGACTAAAAAAACACTCTCTAAGGAGAGAAAAATCTCTCATCGTCATTTTGAAGCCGATATCGTCGATAGGACGTCTGAATCATGAGTAGCGACTCCGACGAGGTAAGAACATGAACCAAAAAAAAAAAAAACACAGAAAATGGGAACCGCGGGTGATTTGCGGTCCGACCATGGTCCAACCGCAAGTGACCTGCGGTTGGACCATGGCCGGACCGCAAATCACCTACGGTTGCGCCATTGGTGGACCGCAATTGACCTGCGGTTGGACCATGGTCGGACCGCAAATCACCTGCGGTTCCGCCATGGTCCAACCGCAGGTCAATTGCGGTCCACCAATGGCTCAACCGCAGGTGATTTGCGGTCCGACCATGGTCAAACCGCAGGTCACTTGCGGTTGGGCATTTTTTGGTTTTTTTTTTTTTTCGTTGAATAATTTTTTTTTTATATGATTTATGATTGTTCCATGAAATAATTTGGTGGGTTTTGATTGATATAATTTATTAGATTTATTTGCATAATTATTTTTGGAATTGAAGGATTTAGCATTAGAAATTAAGATTAGATTTTTGGAATTGAAGGATTTAGCATTAGAAATTAAGATTAGATTTGGCCTTAAATTAAGATTAGATTTAATTTGGTGTTAATCTAGAAAATTAAGATTAGATTTTGCATTACAAATTAAGATTAATATAATTTATTAGATTTATTGGGTTTTGATTAGATTTTTGGAATTGAAGGATTTAGGATTAGAAATTAAGATTAGATTTGGCCTTAAATTAAGATTAGATTTAATTTGGTGTTAATCTAGAAAATTAAGATTAGATTTTGCATTACAAATTAAGATTAAATTTATTGCATAAATAATAGATTCGCATATGAAGTTATGATGATTATTAATTTTAATACTGATAACATTGCAGGATATTGGAAGTTACAATCCGGATGGCCATGATTACACCTCGGATTTCATTGATGGCGTGAAATACACTACGGAGTTGCAAGCATATGAAGCAGCCATTGAGATTGCAAAGGGTTTTGGGTTTTATTTGGTGAGGGCATCGAACAAAAAAAATACGAATGAAGGTACTTGGCGACATTACTTACATTGCACTCATGGTAGGAAGAAGAAGTCGAAGGAACCTGATCCGAGTAAGGAAACGAGGCCTCTTACATCTACTGAAAAGTTGGGGTGCGAGTTTAAGATCAAGCTTGAGCGGTCAGGTGATGGATATTGGTTGATCCTAGGGGTGGCAAATACAAAGAATCCTGGTGCTAATTTGGGTTTCCACAATCATCAGTTGGAGCTATTTCCGGAGGGATCAAAGGGAAGGAATGTTTTGACTACAGAGGACAAGCAATACATCAGAGAGCTGAGATCAGCCGGTGTCCCACCAAGGAATATCCACAAGGCAGTGAATGACAGAAAAGGTGCAAATGGAACACACAACAGAAAGCAGATTTATAACGAGTGTCACAAGATGGAATAGCAAATGGAATAGAAGATGGCATTCGACGTTGCAGGTGGGCATCAACAAGTGGCTGTGGACCTTTCAACTGGATGGATAATGCGGAACTCTTCGTCTTCGCCACCTTGCATTCATGGGCCATCGTTGTATACAGTCAAGGCGGTCGTTATACTGTGCTACCTGTGACGGCCCCACCAGGAGTAACAAGACCACGTGGGATCTTATCACTACATTTTACGGGGGATCATTGGGTGCGACTTGACTTTCGACATGGTCAAGTGCCCATGCCTCCAATTAATGGCCTTTGGCCTATTTATCATGACCCTAGTGTCAATGGGTGGGATCAATTCTTCTTACATGAGCGTGCGCTTTATGATAGATTGAACCCACGGGGATGAATTGTATAACTCTCTATTGTATAACTCTCTATTTACGAATTGTATAACTCTCTATTGTTGAAACATTTAGTAATCTACCATGTTGATTAACTATTTTAGCAATGCATTGAATGTAACTAAAGTAAAAAAACACACAACCGTCTCAATTAAACTACAAACGATGACAAATAAAACACACAATAGTCATAGTTCAACTACAAACGATGACAAATAAAACACACAATAGTCATAGTTCAACTACAAACGATGACAAATAAAACACACAATAGTCTCAGTTCAACTACAAACGATGACAAATAAAAACACAATCGTCTACTGAGGCGGCTGCCCTACCAACTGGTCGTACAACTCGAAAACTCCAGCTGCCATATCATAGAGCTTACCACCGTCCTCCTCCCACTTACTCCGGTCCCTCGTCTGCAACAAGGGACCTAAACGATCCACAATCTGCTCTCTCAACTGTAAATAGAAAACAATGTTAGAATAAATAACAAATGTCCTTTATATTTGGAAAAGCAAAAGAAAGTCATAACTAACCTGATGAACTAGTAGTGGTCGAGGCTGAGGCTCCTCATCAGTGGGGTGGGTGATCCGTGGGTGCGATCTAGTCAGAAACCAGTCAACGTACTCCTCCACGATCTCCGATGGCTGCTCGCACGGCCGAGAAGCAAAATCCAACTCTAGACGACGAGCTGCCACGTTATCCCACAACTGATTCACCCACGGATCCCAAAAGACTATGTAACTGCTGCCGGAAGCCGGACGGTACTGGTCATGTGGTACCGTCATAGCAGCGGGGATAATCTGTCGGTATCCAAACTGGCGCAGACAACGTGAAGGATCGTATCCCTCAGCAATGTCAGAAAAGCGAATGGGGCCAGTATACAAGGAGCGGGGTATATCTGTGTGGCCATCTCGTCCGTACGGAGTCCAGGTCACATCATCAGCTGAAAGCTCATCCAACAACTGTCGATAACGTACTAACCTCTGTCTAGCCTCATCCCCACCTGGCAAACGGGGAGAAATCCACGAGGAAGCACGAGGTGCATCCGGAGACTGTGGCAGCTGGCTCGGACGGAAAAGAGGAAAGTACTCATATATCCAAGCCTGAAGCAGGGTCAAACAACCACAAAGACCCTTACTACCAGCTCGTGTGGCCACTCCCAACTGTCTGTAGAGATAGTCTAGTGCACCAGCTCCCCAAGCGTAATCAGCCAATCGTCGATGATCCTTCAGAAACAAGTTGATCGCAGGACGAATGCGATCACGACTCTTATCCACAAAAAGCGTGGATCCCAGTAACACAAACAGGTAACACTGCACCTCCATCTCCTTAATCTTCAGCTCTCCCCCACGCACCAACAATCCCTCTGCATGCATAGCACCATTATCGTACCACTTAGACTTCCACTTACCACCAACCTGAGCATCCACCGAAAGTCGAACTAGACCACCCATGTCTGACTTAAGAGTATCCTGCGACGCCTCATCTCCCATCAGCTGTCCGTCAACCGGTATCCGAAGAATGTGATGCACATCGTGTAGAAGGATCGAAATCTCTCCAAACGGCATGTGGAAGGTGTTTGTGTCCGGCTGCCACCTCTCCACAAATGCCGACAGTAGAGCCATGTCTAAATGCTGCATCATGCACCCTGTCAAGTGAGACAATCCTGTGGCTTCAACCATCTCCTTGGAACCCTCTGCACTCCACTTATATCGCCTCAAAGTCTCTACAGCTCTCGGCCTATGGAAGCCGTCCAACACTCCACGGTCCTGCTCAGGGGAATTCCACAGTACCAAGCCAATGTGACCTCCAAAGCTAGGGATCACATCGGGAATCACTGGTCCACCTGAACACATCGGAGACTCGGCTGTAAGAAACCACGACATATCTTTCCTCGTGGTCTTCCTCTTCCTATTTCCATCTCCGCCATCCTCGCTACTAGGTCTGGACGCATAGCGTCCATCGGGCCCACGGAAGTGGGAGGAGGCAGTAGAAGATACCCCGACCCGTGCCGTCTTCCCCACGCCTAAATCAGCTTGAGGTGGGGCATCCCCAGCCTCAGCATCACCAGCACCATCAACAGCATCATCAACAGCAGCAGCACCAGCAGCAGCACCAGCATCTGGGGCATTCCCAACCTCAGCATCACCGTCATCATCATCATCCTCGTCAATGGAATCACTCCAATTAGCCTGCCATACCGGTGCGGTATCTGGTGTAGGAGTACTGGTAGTACCTCGACTAAGAGACAACTGCCCCACAGTAGGGTGGCCGTTAGGACGCACTACATCCGCCTTCTTCTTCCTTCTAACCTTAGGTGGATTTTTTTCTTCATTTTCCTTCCTACCAGTCGCCGTAAGTCTACAAGCACGACCTTCCATTCTCTCCTTATTTCTCGCCTTAATCATATCCGGTTTACCCATTCCATGTCCAGACATCTTAAAAAAAAGTTTGAATTATTAATAATGGAGTACATAAAGTAATTAATTTAAGATTTTCATAATTAAAATTATAAAACTAATAGTTTTAACATTTATGTTACGTTCTATGTAATAATTATTTACTTTTTA